AATGACCAGTCCAAGTTCAATGCACGAGGGGAAAAAAAAAGGAATCCTGCCCAGTCCCAGGGCGATGCCCAGGGTGATGGATCGTCTGGGGGTGGGACCCATCGGTCATTCAGGGCAGGGCAGCGAGTGGACTAAGAAGTTCTAATTCCTTTCATTTCTGATTCTCGTCTGGGCCACGAACTGTACCCAGAAGCCGCCTGGGATGTGTTAGAGCCTCGGGCGCTCTGTCCAGTGTCGGGCAGGGAGAAGACGGCAGGGAGGGAAGGTTGGGGCGAGTCTGTCTGGCTGTGAAGTCATGGGGGGTGTGTGCTGACACAGAAGCAGGAGCGCCCAGCCCTGGGAGGGCGGCCCGAGTCCCAGGCAGCACCAGACGCTGAGACAGGGAATGCAGGGTGTGCAAAGGCCAGGTGGCCATGGGAGACGCCCAGACATTCAGGCTTGGCGGCCGGGCTGGCTTGCTAAGCGGGAACCAGAGGCCCCAGCTGGCCCGCAGAGCACCCGTGCCTGCTCCCCCAGCTCTAGGGCTGCCCAGGGCCCCCCGCCGACTAGAGAGAGCGCCGAGAGGTGGATGGCCTCCGATTTTCAAGGCGGGCTGGGGGCTGCTGCTGCCTGAGAAGTGGCACTGAGCTGAGAGAGCATCACTCCAGGGAGAAACCCAGCGCTCAGCTCCGAGGGGACCACACAGTGATCAGCTGAGCCTCCGGAGGTGGACACAGCCCTGCATCCCACGCGCTGACCCCAGAAGGGGCCTGCCTGGTCCTCCTCTGATGAGGCACTCAGCACGGATGGTACTGCTCCGTGTCCGCCACCCCCGTCCTCCACAGTCCGCCCCAAGGGCCCTGGAGGGGAGGGGGGCCTCTGTGTTACAACGTTCCCCACGGTCACACCAGGACCCAGATTTGCGGGAGGGGGGACTTTGGGAGGAAGGGCAGGTCAAGCCTGACACTGGGGCTGCAGGTGCCCACCCCAACGCAGCGCTGGGGTCCAGCTCCCAGGGACACAGAAGGCCAGTGGGGCCTTACCCTGTCCATGTTCATGGTGATACACCTCTGTGTCCTCTGCCTGGAGGGCCTGGCCATAACCCCCGCCCTGCCCCGCAAAGGCCACGGCCCCTCCAAAGCTGCCCTGGGCACCCGCCAAAGCCCCTGCCTCCTCAGTGCCTACGCTGCTCAAAGGAAACGAAGACGCTGCTAGCCTGTTTCTGCCACATGTCCTTAGGGAGGGTGGGAACCCACTGTCCCCACCGCCTCTGCCCAGCGTCCCCATAGCTGCGAGCAGAGTCCTGCCTCCATGTCTCCAGCAGCATTGCCTCCCTGTCCATCCATCCGGGCCCATCCAGCGGAATAGGTAGGAGAAGCGGATTCACTTTTTGTAAGACTTAATGCAAGGCATCAGCTCCCAGACTGAGGGGCCTGGGGAGGCAGGTCTGAAGCCCCCCAGGGCAGGCCACGCTGAAACCCCAGCCACTGGCCCTCGCTGCCATCCACATGCGAGCTCTCTCCTTTGGGGGAGCCTCAGCTCCACTCCTGAGACCTTTCCACCAATTAGACCAGACCCACCCAGGGCATCCAGGACAGTTCAGTTCAGTTCTCAGTCATGTCCGACTCTTTGTGACCCCATGGACTGCAGTACTCCAAGCCTCCCTGCCCATCACCAAATCCAGGAGTTTATTCAAACTCATGTCCATTGAGTCAGTGATGCCACCCAACCATCTCATCCTCTGTCATCCCCTTCTCCTCCTGCCTTCAATCTTTCCCAGCATCAGGGTCTTTTCAAATGAATCAGCTATTCGAATCAGGTGGCCAAAGTTTCAGCTTCAACATCAGTCCTTCCAGTGAACACACAGGACTGATTTCCTTTAGGATGGACTAGTTGGATCTCCTTGCAGTCCAAGGGTCTCAAGAGTCTCCTCCAACTGGAGTAGTGAATGGCAAACCACTTCAGTATTCCTGCCTTGAGAACCCCAAGAACTGTGTAAAAGGACAATCTCCTCTATCTAAATCTCTCGGTGACAGACTTGACTCAGGTCTGCGGAACTCCTCGGCAGCAAGAGCTCAGTGAGTGCTTGATAAACAGCAGCCACGGGGGCCACGGCCGAGTTACCCACACACCTGCCCGTCGCTGCGTCCCACCAGCTGTGGCCCCCTGTCTGGGTCTGGGGTAAGCAGCAGAGGACTCAGGATGGGGAGAGCATCTCACCCGCCGCGTCAAAACAGGAACCAAACCTCCTGAGTCTCTGCTTGAGCCCAGTAAGGGGGAAAGATAATCTGCCTTCTTAGCTCGGAGTTTTTAAGATCAAAATGAACCCTTCCGATGAAATCCTGCCCAAGGATCCTTATCCATGGATCTGGTTTAATTTAGGAGATCCTGGTTGAGCTTAAACCCTGGTGTTGTAATGAGATTAAACTTCCAGGCACCTTGGGTGGGAAGATGAGTTTATTTCACGTGTAGGAGAATCATAACCAGTCCATGGCCAGAGAGAACGCTGAGGCCATTTCAAGATGGACATAAAGGCACTCACTCTCCCTGTCGTAGGGAGTGGGACCTCTGTCTCCACTCCTTAAAATGACTCGGCTTGTGACCGCCTCACGTGGCAGAGTGTAGCAGACACAGTCCTGCTTTCCAGACACAGACCTCAGCAGCGAGGGAGGCCTCCGGTCCGCCTGTTTTGGAGCCCTGGTCACTGGGTCCGCAGCCCGGCCCCCCCGCTGGAGGCCACGGGGCGAGTCCCTGGGAGCACGTGGGGAGGACGCCGCTGCCCGCCGGGCACCAGAGCTGAGCCCAGGAGCCATCCCAGGAGCGGTTCTGGGCCAGAACCTCAGAGACCGGGACAGCCACCCAGCTGAGCCTGCCTCTGCCCTCAGCCACCAGCCCTGGGCAAAGCAAGACGGCGGCCGCAAGCCCCTGTCCCACAGCGCTTGCGGCCTCTGGCTTCACTTCTCTAAGAAACTTTGAAGAGAGATAGCCTTTCTTCCCTCGGCCTCCAGACAAGCAGCATGGTCACCAAGTTATTGGGGCAACCAAGACTAGTGTGATTCGTCTCAGTGGTACAGAGGTGCTGAGTCTGTATTGTCACCCCCCGCCCCGGGCCCTGAGTTTTTATGAGACTCAGCATCTTCAGAGCCTGCCTCCACTATAACTTACCATGCAAGTGGGTGTCCTTTTCCAGTTGGACTGTACCTGCTATAGGAGGGACAGGGGGACAGGTTTCAGACTCAGAGGTGGTCCGTCCTTAAGGGCAGTCGTTTCTGAGCTGCGTCAGGTCAGGATTGCTTGTTCCAATGTTAGTTACTCTAGAAATGATCACGTATTTATGTACTAGTAGTAGATCTGTATGTCCTCAGACTACAGATATTTAGCATCTATTGTGCCTTTTATCTGCTCAATCTGTTTTCTGCAATTTGACCATCCAGTGATTAATCAAAACTGAAAAGTCAGTTTCTCATGAATTTTTGAAAGCCCTTCGAAGATTTCTTTTCCAAAGTCTTATAACAGAGTCTATACAAAGGATTATTCCAACACCTGAGAAAATGAACATTTAACCTTCCCTACTAGAGCTCAGAGTCTTGAACATGAGCAATCCCGTGACCTCAGTCTCCTCTGGACCACCAGAAGAGCAGAAAAATACTTGCTGATCTGCTTCTTTATGCAACCCCCCTCCCCAATCCCCAGAGCAGCCTGTGTTCCACAGACTAGAGCTGAGATGGGACCTGTCACGGTGTTCATGGAGACACACATGCTCTCATAATCCTGTTACATCACCCCAAGCCCACAGGAGAGGCACAGAATCCAAAATTAGCTGTTTTTAGGCTTTTCATGCTAATGGAAAACTGTGTGTAAACTCTGCTCCTTCCCAAAACTTAGTCATTCTCTTCAGTAATTACCATTTAATAAAGCAGAAAAGCATTCTATATAAAAGACAGATTTATTTATTGGATAACACAAACATTATGGAATAAAGCAATAGTGTTTCCAACGTGGCTTACACTATAAATGTGGAACCCAAAACAACAGAACTGTTTAGAAAATAATATTGCAGAGTTTTAACTTCTTTGACTTTCAGCTGCAAGACTCGAAAATTTAAAAAATGTCTTCATTTTTAAGTCTTCAGCCTTAATTCATCTGCACTGCTGAAGTTCTAAACTCCCTGTTGATTAGAGCCTTATTCTTGGTAAACAACAATTCTGAGAAATTGAAAGATATATTTTTCTGTGCGGTTCATGTATTCATTTCATTGTACAACACAACCCAAGAGATTTGAGGCATTTAAAAGAAATTTCCCTGTTTTTTCTCCCCTGCAATTGATCCTCACAGTACAAACCCTGCCGTTTTCCCTGCTGACAACAAAGCGCCCACTCCCGGCTTCTCCAGGACCTTGCCAGGCTCTGGGGCCCAGTGGTCAGCCCCACAGGCAGTGGCCCTGGTCCATCCGCAGGCAGGGCTGAGCCAAGGATGGGAGCCCGGGAGGGAGCCTCCTCCTCTCCCCAGCACCGGGGGCCCTGGCGTCCCCACCTTCTGCCCTCCACCACCAGGGCCTCTGCTGGGGCCAGGCTGATGCTGGGCTCCTGGCCCACCTGCCTCCAGAGACCACAGCCCCTCCTTCGGCAGTGGAATCCCCCAACCCCGGCTGTGGGTGGGGCCTCAGCAACCCCGCCCTGAGCACCACCACCTGTGCTAAGCTCTGCGGGAAGTGGAGGGCGGGGTCGACCAGAAGACCCTTCCCCTCCCAGCGGGGTGTCAAGGCTGAGAGGGGGGGAGAGACACAGTGAAAAACAAATGGCAACAGCTACCGCAAAGAAAGCGCCTGTGCGAGTGTGGACGGAGGCGGACGGAAGAGGGGGCCGGGGAGAGTGGGTGAGCGGCGCGGGGCCCAGAGAGGGGCGTCCTGCGAGGAGTGCGGACCACCTCAAGTCGGGGGCCAGCCAGGCGCAGCGGCAGACAGGCCAGGGCAGACCCGCGGGGCGGGCACAGCACGCGTGCAACACCAGCTGGGGGTCCAGACTGGAAGCTGCAGGCTACGAGCGGCGTCCTCTAGGTCCCCGCACGGTGTGCAGCACGGCCCCGGCCGCCACCGGGCAGCAGGCAGCCCAGCACGGCCGCGGGGAGGGCAAGGCTTGGGCCAGCAGTGCCCGAGAGCTGAGAGCCCAGCGGGGAGGGGTGGGAGAGCCGGGTGAGCCCCCGGAAGCCCCAGCTGGCAGATTTGCTGCTGGTTCATTGGGGTGGGCCTGAGCAGGCGGGACCAGTGGGGGGCCCCGGGGACGTCGTACCAAGAGGGGAGACTGACTGAGAGGCAGAGGAGGCCTGCCGGCCCCCCGAGCCCCGGGGCTGAGGTCGCCACAGGCACCCCTGCCCGTGTTGAGCTCTTCCAGGACCGCAGGCCGCGGGGAGCCCACAGGTGGCCGCTCTGCTGTCCGGACCCCGTCCACCACCCCCCGCCACGGCTGTGGGTGCCCAGCGGGCTTCCCCGGCAGGAGGTGGAAGGGACCCCCACCAGGTCCTCGCCCAGGACAGGGGACCCCCAGCCCACATTGCCCCACTCCCGCAGCTCTACCTACCTGGCGGTCTTGGCCGCCCCTCCTGTTCCAAGTCTCAGGACTGCAAGCAGGAGCCCCCTTGGCTGGGGGCGTCCACGGACAGGCGGCCTCCCCGATAATAGTCTGGAGTGGTCCCAGGACTGGTGGACCCGAGGACAGCCCCCTCTATTTCCAAAAGACAGCAACACGGGGCTCTCCTGAAGGGGTGGGGGTGACTTTCTGGGAAGAACCACCCCCAACGGGAGACCCACTCTGACCCCGGGAGGGTCCCAGCTGGGGGCTCAGTACGCACGCCTCTGTGTGGTCGTGTGTGTTGCAGCCGGGAAGCTCCCGGGAGTGAAGAGCCTGGCCGCCGTGGGGGAGGGGCCTGGAGGGGAAGCCCCCTAAGATGCTACTGCTTGCCATGGCGGGAGGGGTCATGGAGGGAAAGCACCTCTGAGATGCCCGCCATGGCAGAGGGGGCCTGGAGGGGAAGCCCCGTAAGCCGGCCCTCAGCAGAGCCCAGGCCCAGCCCCAGGACCGGGCCCGGCCGTCGTGGAGAGCACTCCGTGCTGGGCGGTCAGGGGCGCGGCTGGCGTGGGCGCCTGGGCTTTCAGACGGTTTCCAGGCCCAGTTCCGCCCCCCTCGGTTCTGGGCTTCCAGCACCACCACGGAGGCTGCGCATGCCCGTGGGGGCTGGGGGGCCTCTTCCTGGTGAACGGGTTTAACCCTCCACCCTGTCTGGGGTCACTCCCCTCAGCGACAGAGCCTGAGGCGCAGGGCCTGAGCTCCCATTATCTATTCTTGGGGTGGGGGGACTGGAAACCGCCCTTTGGTCGGCGGGAAGCCCTCTGTCTGCTCTTAGCACGCGTCCTAAGGGGTGGGGTCACTGTACCTGCCGCCCCGGAACACGCAGGCATTTCCCAGTCACACTGGAAAGAGGCGGAGTAGCATCACAGTTGTATTCTCCAGATACTGATAAAAATCTTAAGACTAGATTGAAATGAAATCATTATTTGCTGATTCTTCTGTACTTTACAGGGCTTCACAGGTGGCGCCTAGTGGTAAAGAACCTGCCTGTCAAAACTTAAGAGACACGGGTTAAATCCCTGGGGTCTGGAAGATCCCCTGGAGGAAGAAACGGCAACCCACTCCAGGATTCTTGCCCGAAGAATGCCATGGACAGAGGGCCCCGGTGGGCTGCAGTCCGTGGGGTCTCCCAGAGTCAGACAGGACTGAGCACGCACGCTGTACTTTTCAATGACAAATTTCAAAACGACCGATTAGCCGCAGGTCCGCGTGGAAGACTCTGGTGGTGTTTTCAGGTGAAGAGGTCTGAATCTCTCCTTGCGCCCTTGCACACGTCGCCTTTCCTTCCAGTTGTGCTGTGAACCTACAGGTGGGTGAACCGCAGCCAACGTTTGACTACCAGACACCCTTCTGGCTGGAAGCTACGTGACTCAGGAGAAAAGACGTGAACGCTGGAAATGAAATCTCTTTTTATATTCACTGAGGTTCTGTTTCAGGGAAAGTAATGGTACCTTTAAAAAAAAAAAAACACACACACAAGAGGCTTTGCAGACTCCACAGAAGAGAGCCCGGACTCGCTCGCTGGATGGAGCAGCTCACACCTGCTCTTGCTGCTGTAAGCTGCTTAGACACGGTTCTCAGCAACCAGGAACTGCACGCCTGACCCTGCAGTAAACTCCAGATGTGACCAAGGAACTCCAGAGTTCAGACAGAAACTGCTTCTCTGACATTTTTCTTCAGCAGCAGCAGGCTTTCATTCATTTATTTATTTATTCATGTTTGGCCATCCGGGGTCTCTGCTGCTATATGGGTTTTCTCCAGGTGCAGTGTGCGGGCTGCTCAGTGCAGTGGGGTCTCTTGTTGTGGAGCACGGGCCGTGGCTGCAGCTTCAGTAGTTGCAGCTCCCGAGCTCAAGAGCACAGGCTCCGTGGTTGTAGCACACGGGCTTAGTCGCTCCACAGCCTGTGGGGTCTTCCCAGACCAGAGATGGAACCCATGTCTCTTGCATGGCAGATGGATTCTTCACCTCTGAGCCTCTGAGCTATGACTGAGCCCAGTCATAGCAGGGTCTGCAGGCAGGCTGCACAGTATACCAGCACACATGCATCCTGATACATTTACCAGGGGAAAAAAAAAACTTTTTCAGTTGTAGAAGCATAAGTAAGATCAGAGGTATATGTTAAAACTAAAACAATAAGGAAACCATCAAGTTCACAGCAGCTGTTCAGTACACGCAATTTGTTCAAATTATTTGGCTCCAAAGGTGGAGAAGCCAGAATATGTATTTGCTAAATTATAACTATCTCCCAGAACATGGGCAGACTCTGGGAGATGGTGAAGAACAGGGAAGCCTGGCATGCTGCAGTCCATGGGGTCGCAAAGAGTCAGACACTACTAAGCAACTCAACAACAACTCTGGTGACTTCTGGGGACTGCGATTATTATTATCATTAGCTTCTCTGATGTACATTTGAAATTTATGTATCATTTGCAAAGATGAAAAGGTCATTAAGAACCTTTTGGACAAATACCCTACTTTCACTTCCATGCTACAAATTGATAAAAACATGCTCTTTTTATCACTGGCATTTTAAATAGTGTAGGCTCTGGAATTTTGGATGAAAAAGTCCAGGAAACCTGCCACCCGTCCCATGGGTAGTGGGGGGACCTCCCCGACACCTCAGCTGCCGCCACCGTTTCCTGGGCTAGCCAGCTCCTGGACGGCCCCTCGGGGCCCTGGCAGTGGGCTGTCCTGGGGCTGGACCCTCCATCACAAGGCAGGGTCAGCTCCAGCCCAACCCAAGGAGGGTCCCCAGAGACCACCGGCTCCAGGGTCAGCCCACCTGTCCTCCGGGCCCTGGATGCAAGGCAGCTGTAGCAGGCTTGTTAACAGTAGACTCGGCTGAGGACCCTCAGCGGAGCGGAGCTGGAGCTCAACTCCAAATGGGCAGGGGTTTGCAAGGACTGGCCGGCAGCCACTGAGAGGAGCCGGCTGGCGTCCCGGGGCCAAGGGAGGGTCCAGCCCCAGCCGGGCGGGCTCCGTGGTCCAGGCGGAGGCCCTGGCACATGGGAGCCTCCCCCACAGACTCCTCCTGGGCCTCGCCTTCCGACGCTGCCGGCCTGCCAGCCTGGCCACGGGAATCCACTTGCTGTTGACCCTTGGGGAGGTCACTGGTTTTCCCAACTGTACTCCACACTCGAGGCTCCTGTGCTCATGTCCCATCTAACCAGACTCACCTGGCCACTAGCATCGCCCTGGGTGGGTCACGTGCTCCCCAGAACCTGGGAGGAAGCCAGGGCTGAGCCCACCCAGAGGGTCCACCTGGGCATGGAAAGGAAGCAGGGTTGAAGGGCGAAGCGGCCTGGCCTCCGTCTCCACGTTCAAGGTCACACACAGCATCCTGGCCTGAGGCTCACGTCCTCACAGAGGAGCAGAACCCAGCCACAGGCGTGGCAGGCTTCCTCACACTTCTCATTCGCTAATACCGTTCATGAGCGTGTCCGATCGATTAGCAAGGATGTGTTCATTGCAAGCCTGTCAGGTGCCAGGCACTGAGCGGAGGATTGGGGTGGGCGGGTCCTGCCCGGGGGGACCGGGTCTTTGGGGTGAATGCCGCGGTCCCCTCAGCCCAGCGCAGCTCTCCTGGTTCTCAGGACGCGGACAAAGACACCCGTACCTGCCGGCGGAGAGGCAGGACCAAAGGAAAGCGGATTCCACTGGACACACGTGCGGCCTGGGCGGCCGCCCCCGCAGCAACAAACAGCTGGGGAGGCGAGGCTCCCGGCCGAGCACAGAGGTCCCCCTAAACTCCAGGCCCAGGCAAACCCCTAACTCACTTGTGTTCACTGTGACATGCCCTCCTTCCCGCCACATCTGTGCGTGGGCCGTGAGGAAAGGCCAGGGCACCGGGAGGCGAGGGTATCTTCGGTGGCGCGGGCAGCCAGCCTGGACCAGGCTCCAGGGCAGAGGGCGCAGGGCACGCAGTGGACGCTGCCGAGGGGACGGGGATGCAGGTCCTGATGCTGGGTGGTCAGGCCGCCTTCAGGCCCTCTGCTCGATTCCCACTGGCTCCAGAGAGGAGGCCTGGAAGCGCAGCGGCCGGGAACCGGAGGGCACCGTGAGTGCCCGGGGTCTGCTGAGAGCCCGTGGGCCATTCCAGAGAGGGAGGGGGTCCCCGGGCAGCGGCAGGGGGGTCCCCGGGCAGCGGCAGCGAGCCTCTCAAGAGGGCCCGGGCTGGGCGCCCGCTCAGACGGAAGTAACACGGATCTCATCACCCGGATGAGAGGATGCAGGACCGCTGATGGAGACCCGGGCCAGGCCCCTCGAGGCAGGAGGACCCCCGCTGCCTTCTTTCTTCCACTTCCTTAAGAAAAAGCTCTTTCTTTGGATACAGCTCTGGGCTTTTCTTTAAAAAAAAAAAAACGGAAAAAGCTTTATAAAACTTACAAATGGAAATCTAAGCATGTTTTCCAACTGATTCTTATTTCATTTCCAAGCTAACAGTGGGAACCTCGGCTCAGGGCGGATAAAGACACTGACTCACATTGACCTACCAAACCCCCATAAAATAAACACTCAGAAACAGTGGGAGACAATCAGAGAGGGTCTGAAGCACCCTCCCCCCAGGAGGCCTTGTCTTCTTATAAATATCGAGGTTTCTCAAATAATTACACCCATAAATTCCTTGAGTGCTATCAGGACACGTGAACCAAGGAAAACATGTGAGAACAAACATGCAGCTTGAGCTGTAACAGACAAAACCTGGAAACAAACCACAGGCCCATCTAACAGTCAATTTGTAGACAAAATGCGGCACCTCCGCGGATAGACTCAATCAGCAACTAAAGGAACAGATTCTTTATGTGTCTCCAACGTGGACGAGCCTGAAAAAAATCCTAAAAAAAGTGCCAATCCATCAGAGCATACGTTGAATTACTCCATTTATATAAAGTTTCTAAAAAAGGAAAACACTATACAGATAGGAAACCATGGAGGCAGCGGGGTGGGTGTTGAAGAGCTGTCACACGATTTGATGTGTTTGGGCATTTGAAACATTATCAGGTATTTGACAGATGAATGAGTTCTGCAGGAAACATCACACTAGTTTCCTAGAAAACAAAGCCGTAAAAACAACCAGCAAATAATAACTCAGGTAAACATGAAAAGTTACATAACATAAAACAAAAACCTCACAGTACTAACTTAGCCCAGCAGAAAACTCAAATGATTAAACCAAAACCAGTGGTAAACGTATGTTGGAAAGACAGGGGAAGTCGGGTTTAGAAAAGGTGCAGGTTGAGGCACAAGAGGGTTAAACTGCAAGTACCAGGAGGTCATGGACATCACCAGACGGCCAACACTGAAACCAGATCGGTTATGTCCTTTGCGGCCAAAGACAGGGAAGCTCTGTACAGTCAGCAAAACAGACCAGGGGCTGACGTGGCTCAGATCATGAGCTGCTCACTGCAAAATTCAGAAAAGACCGGGGGCTGAGCGTGGCTCAGATCATGAGCTGCTCACTGCAAAATTCAGAAAAGACCGGGGGCTGACCGTGGCTCAGATCATGAGCTGCTCACTGCAAAATTCAGACTTAAACCGAAGAAAATAGGGAACACCACGAGACCATTCAGGTATGATCTAAATCAAATTCCTTACAATTATACAATGGATGTGAGAAATAGATTCAAGGTATTAGATCTGATTGATAGAGTGAATGTCTGATGGATGGAAGTTTGTAACATTGTACAGGAGGCAGTGATCAAAACCATCTCCAAGAAGAAATTCAAAAAGGCAAAATGGTTGTCTGAGGAGACCTCACAAATAGCTGAGAAAAGAAGAGAAGCAAAAGCAAAGGAGAAAAGGAAAGATATACCCATTTGGATGCAGAGTTCCAAAGAAGAGCAAGGAGAGAAAAGAAAGACTTCCTCAATGATCAATGCAAAGAAATAGAGGAAAACAACAGAATGGAGACTAGAGATCTCTCCAAGAAAATTAGAGATACCAAGGGAACACTTAATGCAAAGATGGGCACAATAAAGGGCAGAAGTGGTATGGACCTAACAGAAGCAGAAGATATTAAGAAGAGGTGGCAAGAATAAACAGAAGAACTATACAAAAAAGAACTTCATGACCCAGATAATCATGATGATATGATCACTCACCTAGAGCCAGACATCCTGGAATGTGAAGTCAGGTGGGCCTTAGGAAGCATCACCACAAACAAAGCTAGTGGAGGTGATGGAATTCCAGCTAAGCTATTTCAAATCCTAAAAGATGATGCTGTGAAAGTGCTGCACCCAATATGCCAGCAACTTTGGAAAACTCAGCAGTGGCCACAGGACGGGAAAAGGTCAGTTTTCATTCCATCCCAAAGAAAGGCAATGCCAAAGAATGTTCAAAGTACTGCACAATTGCACTCATCTCACATGCTAGTAAAGTAGTGCTCAAAAGTCTCCAAGCAAGGTTTCAACATTTTGTGAACCAAGAACATCCAGATGTTCAAGCTGGATTTAGAAAAGGCAGAGGAATCAGAGATCAAATTACCAACATCTGTTGGATCATAGAAAAAGTAAGAGAATTTAAGAAAAATATCTATTTCTCCTTCATTGACTATGCTAAAGATTTTGACTGTGTGGATCACAGAAACTGTGGAAAACTCTGAAAGAGATGGGAATATCAGATCACCTTACCTGCCTCTTGAGAAATCTGTATGCAAATCAAAAAGCAGCAGTTAGAACAGGACATGGAACAACAGACTGGTCCCAAGTTGGGAAAGGAGTGCATCAAGGCTGCATACTGTCACCTGCTCATTTAACTTACATGCGGAGCACATCACGAGAAACGCTGGGCTGGAGGAAGCCCAAGCTGGAATCAAGACTGCCAGGAGAAATATCAGTAACCTCAGATATGCAGATGACACCACCCTTATGGCAGAAAGCAAAGAGGAACTAAAGAGCCTCTTGGTGAAAGTGAAAGAGGAGAGTGAGAAAGTTGGCTTTAAACTCAACATTCAAAAGACAAAGATCATAGCATCTGGTCCCATCACTTCATGGCAAATAGATGGGAAATCAATGGAAACAATGATAGTGTTTATTTTCTTGGGCTCCAAAATCACTGCAGAAGGTGACTGCAGTCGTGAAATTAAAAGACGCTTGCTCCTTGGAAGAAAAGCTATGACCAACCTAGACAGCATATTAAAAAGCAGAGACATCACTTTGCTGATAAAGGTCCGTCTAGTCAAAGTTATGGATTTTCTAGTAGTCATCTATGGATGTGAGAGCTGGACCATAAAGAAAGCTGAGCGCTGGAGAATTGATGCCTTTGAACAGTGCTGTTGGAGAAGACTCTTGAGTCCCTTGGACAGCAAGGAGCTCCAACCAGTCCATCCTAAAGGAAATAAGTTCTGAATATTCATTGGAAGGACTGATGCTGAAGCTCCAATCCTTTGGCTATCTGACACATTGGAAAAGATCCTGATGCCTGGAAAGGCTGAAGGCAAATGGAGAAGGGGGAGACAGAGGATAAGATGGTTGGATGGCATCATCAGCTCACTGGTCATAAGTGTGAGCAAACTCCAGGAGATGGTGAAGAACAGGGAAGCCTGGCATGCTGCAGCCCACGGGGTCACAAACAGTTGGACAAGATTTAGTGACGGAACAAAAACAAGAAACCAGCAGCTTTAGAAACAGAGAATAAACAGACATGTGCTTCTGCGGACAAAACTAGATGATGAGGCTGGGATCTGCGGCAAGATTGTGTTTTCTTATAAACTTTGTAATACTGTTTGACTTTTAAACTATGTTTGTGCTACTTTTGAAATAAAACTGTTCTGAAAAGCAAGGGAGTCAAGCAAATAATTACAGTCTACTTCCACCACTGTTTCAAAAGTATATTTTGATGCCAAAAAACGTTGAAAGAACGAAAATTAATTTAGTTCAAAGAAAGAGTCACTCTTTTATTTTTCTTATTTGTAATTGTTAGTATTTCTCAATTTGCTGAACATAAATGAAAATTTCCTTGTGGTCTGGAATCAGCACCATCACCAAGGAAGGCGGCCAGTCAGGTGAAGGAGGGCTTTGTTGGGCAAGCCTTTCAGGAAAGGTCCTCTCTGCCTTTCTTTCTCTTTTTCTGACTCTTACCTGGAATGCAGATATGATGGCTGAAGCATCAACAGCCATAACAGGACTATGAAGCAAACTCCCGATGGAACCCAAACGAGGTGGAGCAGAAGGGGGGCAGAAACCCTGCTATCTGAGGAGGTTGAAGCTTCATCATGGCCAGGCACCGCCCGTCTCCAGCCCCCTGGACATTGGGCAAAGCTCTGTTCTGCTTTATTTAGGCTACCAGCATGTTTATTAGCTGCCTAGTAGTTCCTTGTAGATATAGCTTTGTGGAATCTTCCTTCTGTCCTCACTTTGCAGACACTCGAAAAGTTAACCTATTTCTTCAACAAATATTATGTCCATGGGAGCTGGGCCAGGAAGTCAGAGCTAGAATTTGTGACTGTCTATACAGTAGCCTGTTCATATTACAGAGCCCCCTTGTTGAAGAGTTTCTTTGGATATTGATCAGCCAACACCTTTTTCACACTTCCCACCCACCACCCTACGTCTGTGCCAAGGCCATGGGCGCCCAATCAAATTCCTCTTCCTGGAAAAGCTACTGAGCTAAACACCTCATTGGTTTCTGCCTCCACCAATGAGATGTGAGTATTAAAGGGGATTTCCTGTGGGGCTCCAGGAAGGCAAAACCGCACCGAGATCCTCTGGCCCTGGCCAGTCAGGCCACTTCTCTGCTAAGGTGACAGCTCCCTGGGGCAGCACGGGGCAGATGGGCACAGTAGTGGGATGAATGGTGCCCACCCCCCGATCCATACCCACACCTTCATCCCAAACCTGCAAATGGGGCCTTATTTGGAGAGAGAGGTTCTACAGATGTAAGTGACCTGAGGATTTTAGGGTGGATTTTAGGAGGATTTTAGGGCTCATCCCCGATTACCTGCGTGTGCCCCCTATGCAACCACAGGGACTGGAGGGGCAGCCCCGGGAAGAGGCAGGGGAGGAGATGCGAACAGGAGACAGGAGCCCCAGGGCCTCAGCAGCCGACAGAGGCAGCAGGGACCCTGCTCTGGAGGCCCTGAGGGGAGCACGCATGGGGCTCCTCCATCTTGGGCTCCTGGCTCCAAAGCCCCAGAGGATGACTTCCTGCTGTGCTCAGCCGCCCGTCACCCTGGGCTGCCTGCTGTGACAGCAGGATACCAGCGCCCCCTTCTCACACCTCCCCACCGTGGTGTGTTCAGTTCAGTTCAGTCGCTCAGTCGTGTCCGATTTTTTGTGACCCCAGGGACTGCAGCATGCCAGGCCTCCCTGTCCGTCACCCACTCCCGGAGCTTACTCAAACTCATGTTCATCGAGTCGGGGATGCCGTCCAACCATCTCCTCCTCTGTCGTCCCATTCTCCTCCCACCTTCAATCTTTCCCAGCATCAGGTCTTTTCCAATGCGTCAGCTCTTCACATCAGATGGCCAAAGTATTGGAGCTTCAGCTTCAGCATCAGTCCTTCCAATGAATATGCAAGGTTGATTTCCTTTAGGATCGACTGGCTTGATGTCCTTGCAGTCCAAGGAACTCTCAAGAGTCTTCTCCACCACCACAGGTAAAAGGCATCAGTTCTTCAGTGCTCAGCTATGCTCAGGGCCCCCCAAGCTGCCAGGCCCCGGTTCCCACACATACTGCCGCCCCCTGCTCCCCACCTGGGGCTGTGCCCCAGAGACCAGAGGGGGCAGGCAGTCCCCGGGCAGGGGTCCGGGCCCCCCAGGCAGAGGGGCTGCCGGCTGGGACAACCCCGGGCTGCGGACTCCCAGCTGACTGCTCAGCTCTGCCTACCTGCCCCCCCAGCCCCGCCCCCAGACGCCCTCCGGAGACACGGCCCTGAGTGGCCAGCCGGCGTGTTTTCCCCTCGAGGCTTGCTTCTGCAGCTCATTATTTTTCTCATGAAAAGTAATCAGTCTGAAACCCGATCCCCTTCCAGAGATGAGGTCCGGAGGGCAGCGCGTTCGCTCGCCTGACCCCGCGCCCACGCTGCACGCGGATCTTTGAAAAGGTCGCGGGTGCGTAAGTGGGAAGCGGTCCTGAGGGAAGAAAGCGGCATTCTGATATTTTCCTGGAGTGCAGACATGGACAGCACCGCGGAAGGCCAGCAAAGCTGCCTCGCGCGGGGCTCCCGGGATTGAACTCACGGGGACCGCGGAGACCTGCCTGCTGGGCACCCTGCCCGCTGCCCGCCTCCTGGAGGCAGCCCTGGAAGCCTCGGCCACGCCCAGCTCGGGCGCGGCCCGACCCGCTGTCACTGCCGCACGGAGCTCCCGCGACGGAGACCGCGGGGCCGCTGCTGACGGCCTGGGGGGTCCCGGCGGGGCCGTCCTCCGAATTCCCCGGAGATAGGGACACAGGGGTGGGGGCACTGCGTCCAGGGAGCGGGTCTGTAAGACCCCTTGTGCTATCGCCGCATCCAGACACAGGTGTGACTCGCACTTGGGAGAGGGAGGACTCGGCCTGGATGGACAGACAGACACGGCCCCACGGCCCCCCTGCACCCCCAGACTCCCGGCCAGCCAGGCGGAGGCCAGGCCTGCAGACGGGCAGCAAGGCATCCCCCACGTGAGGTCTCTCTGAGCTGGAGCACTGAGGCCCTGTTTCCGGAAGATTGTTTTTTTTTTTCTTGATTAAAAACTGATTTTCTGCCCCGCTCTCAGAATTGCTTTTTATTGCCTTTGGAGGAATAGAGGGAGAGGAATAAAAAAATCTACTGTAAATAATCTTCCTCGGGAAGGAGACTTGAAGAGAAGAAAACCTAATTTGTCTCATTTCTTTTTTTGTAAAATAAGCCCACACTTAATGAAAGTGGTTTATGCTGCGTGTATATCACCTTTATGTTCTGAGGAAAACGTGGAGAAAGCTTGGTTTTAAACCGTCCCTGGGACCCGCGCAGCGGGGAAGCAAGCCAGCACAGCCCCCAGGGACCCCCCTCCACACCAGGCATGGGTGCCTCCCACACCTGATGACCGAAAAGGCAGGTGGCATACGCTGCCTCACACATTGGAGAAGGCATGGCAATCCGCTCCAGCCTTCTTGCCTAGAGAGCCCCGTGAATCGAGGGGCCTGGTCACCTACAGCCCATGGTGTCACGAAGAGTTGGACCCAACTGAACGACTAACCATAATAATAATAATACACTGTGTCCTGCCTTCTCGAGTCAGACCTGGAGAGTCGGCCCCATAACTGAGATCCGTGGATTAGACCAAGTGGGATCCCCGTTTACTATGAATCCTTTCACTCAAAGGAAACTAACAGATAGTAAGTTCTCCAGGCCCTGCCCCGACGCGCCAGCTGAAACGGGAGGTTGTTAAACAGGAGGCGCAGCAGATAGGGGCAGCCCGGGGTGGGCCGGGAGATGCCGGCTCCTCGCCTCGGAGCCCGGCCGGAGGGAGGGGGCCACCCCTCCCCCAGAGGAGACCCCAGAGCAGGCAGGGCCCTTGTTGTCTGGGGGCAGCAGCTGAGCTGGGCCCAGGGGGCGGGGCTGTCTCCGCTGGAGCCCTGGTACCCACAGACAGGACGTGGGCGTGGAGGGTGTGGGCAGGAGAGGAGGGCCCATAGCCACAAGGGCTGGGCGGGGACTGGACGCCCCCCAGGGCCATGCGGGGCACCCGGCAGCTACTCAGGGCTGCACGCTCTGGCCTCACGATCTCTCGCCCCCAGACGGCGCTCCGACCCAGGGACGGGTGTGCAGGGGCGGCCCACCAGAGCCCGGCCGGAGAGGGGCCCTGTGTGCCTCATCTGGCTCCGAGCTCATGGCTCCACCAGCCTGGCCCCGCAGATACGATGGGACAAGGCCGCCCAGACAGAGGAACGCAGAACACTTCTCCCGCCGTGGCTGCCAAGCCTCCGAGAGCTGCAGGCACCCACAGGCCTGGGGACTGGCTCAGGGTGGCTGGGGGCGGGGGGGAAGGGACTGCCTTGCCCCACTCGGCTGGACGCAGCGGGACGCAGGGTGAGGCCCCCGCCCCCGCCCCCAGCAGGAGGGCAGCCTCGGGTCCTGAGGCTGCCAACTGTGGTCAGTGCCACCCTGCGTACCGGTTCCCACGAGTGAACACCGACTGCCCCGGGTCAGGCGTGAGCGTGAGGACGACAGACCAGGCCGGGGGTGTGGAGCTGGGCCCACGGCCCGCCCCCAGCCCTGCAGAGACACCGCCCAGCGTCCCGCCCACGGCCCCAAGTCTGAAGGGCGACCACCTACTTGAACTGAACCCCCAGCAGCACCAACCACGGGCCTGCATGTCCTGCAGGGGCCACTGACCCGAGGCCTCTTTGGGCGAGCGGTCAGTACAGCAGTAAGCGCAACGGTCACAGCGTCGGGTCGGGGACACGGCCTCTGGAAAAGGCTTCCAGCAGCTGGACGACCCGGGCCATTGGTTGGTTTCCCCCTGTAGCTTCGGGGCCCACTTAGCATTTGGGAGAACAGAAGAGAGGCGTGGAGCAGGAAAGCCAGGGCCGGGGAGGGGGACAGAGAAGGGGGTGCTGACAGCCCAGGGCCCAAGGTGCTGCCGTCTGCCCCCACCTGGCAACAACCCAGCAGAGGACCGCGGCCAGAGCCACGACTCTCCGGAGGATGCTGCCACCCGCCCCTCTGCTCCAGCCTCCCCGGCCGGTGACTGTCCAGGGAACAACTCCTCCGTCCGCCGAAAGAGGAGTGTGTCCGCCGCACGCCCGGCTTGTCCCAGACGCTCCCAGTCGTCCCTGCCACGCTGCTCCTCAGGTTCTGAAGTCCAGCTCCTTGGCCAGTTCCCGGGGTCACCACCCTCCTCCTTACACAGAGCTGCTCACTACCCGGTTACCCTACCTGCTGTCTCGAGGGGACTGGTGATCAGAAGGCCAGCATCTAAGCCGAGAAACACAGTGAGTCTCAGAACACAAGCTCACTCTTACTACTTGATTGTAGGTGAAGTAAGGTGACCTCTTCTCTGCTGCCTTGAGTTAAGGGAGCCCCAGGGACCACCAGAACTCTTCTCCGTTCGGGCTGCAGGGTTAGTTGGTTAAGGGGATCCAATGACCCGGCAAAGCTGCACACTCAGAAGGAAACAGTCTCAGGGGACTCGGCTCTGCTGGCCGTGAGCGTCAGACCACAGACTGGCTTCATCCTCGTGGGCGGGTCACCCACAGGGGGCTGACTGGTCACCCACGGTGGACTGGTCACTCTCAGCAGGAGCTCATGGGCCTCATGGGCCCTACTCTCCTGCCTCCCCAGGGCCCTTCCCCACCCCAGGCTGGCCGTGGAATCTGCTCATTCCAGAGAGCACCTCCACACGTGACCACGTCCAGCAGACAGAGAGGCCCCCCTTTCTAACTCTCTCCTTCTATCACCAAGAGCCCTGAGCAGACCTCCCTCCCCTGAGTGGCCAGCACGTGTCACCCGCTCACGCTGGTGGCCGGCAGCTTCTGAAGTGGCTCCCAGTGGCCCTTCCTCCAGGCTGCATGTCCCCCCCCCCCGGGGTGTGGGCTGGACAGGTGACACGCAGGGCCTCTTCGTTTCAATGGAGGTCGGGCAGGCTGTCAGGGCGACAGATCACTAAGGCAGCGCCTGGCCAGTCACAGGCAGGGACTTGGGATTGACCTTGGGGAAGGACAGGCGCATGCCCACTTGGGGGTTTCCCATGAGGGACGCAGTTAGGGAATGGGGGGGAGCCCTGGGAAGTACACTGCAGGGGGTTGACTGTGACCCCCTGAATCGTGCCTGCATCAGACCATCATCTAAGCGCTGACCTCTCCTCTGTAAACCAGTGGCATCTCCAGCCAGCACTGACCATGACCCATGGGGTTCAGTGAGCCTGGGCCCTGGGGGCAGTGGTACATTGACTGTGCTCTGTGGAGTTCAGTGAGCCTGGGCCCTGGGTGGTGGGGCGGGGGGACATCGCTTCCTGGCAAGCAGGGAGGCTGTTTATCTCCTGTCCGGCCCTGGCAGAGCCGTGATTTAATGCATTGTTGGTGATGATGCACTGTGATCAGTCTTTGCCACAAAGCACCACGGTTCCTGTTATTGGCTGGATCCTCCTAAAGCCTCGGAAATGCGGCAATGGATTAAACCGTGGAAAGTGGTCGAGTGACTTGGGTTCTTTTTCTCTGTCAGCTTGCTGGCAGACTCTACTGAAGAATATTTTTCCAATGAAATGCTTATGAAAAACATTTCTGAGGGCCATAAAATCAATTGAGTTTAGGAGAGAAGGCTATTGTTCCAGGAAACTTTTCTAGAAACTCGGAATAAAGGGAGGCAAGCAATACGCAGAGGAAGGAGACGACAAGCCAGCAAAGGACTCTTTCAGCACCGCATCCGGGCCTGCTGCATGGTCATACACGTGTGTGTCGGGAAGGTGATACACGTGTGCTGCGTGGTCATACATGTGTGTGTCGGGAAGATGACACACGTGTGCTGCATGGTCATACACGTGTGTGTCGGGAAGGTGACACACGTGTGCTGCGTGGTCATACACGTGCATGTTGGGAAGGCGATACACGTGTGCTGGGTGGTCATACACGTGTGTGTCGGGAAGGTGACACACGTGTGCTGCGTGGTCATACACGTGTGTGTCGGGAAGATGACACACGTGTGCTGCATGGTCATACACGTGTGTGTCGGGAAGGCGACACACGTGTGCTGGGTGGTCATACACGTGTGTGTTGGGAAGATGACACACGTGTGCTGGGTGGTCATACACGTGTGTGTCGGGAAGATGACACACGTGTGCTGCGTGGTCATACACGTGTGTGTCGGGAAGATGACACACGTGTGCTGCGTGGTCATACACGTGCATGTTGGGAAGGCGATACACGTGTGCTGGGTGGTCATACACGTGTGTTGGGAAGGTGATACACGTGTGCTGGGTGGTCATACACGTGTGTGTTGGGAAGGTGATACACATGTGCTGGGTGGTCATACACGTGTGTGTTGGGAAGGTGATACACGTGTGCTGCGTGGTCATACACGTGTGTGTTGGGAAGGTGATACACGTGTGCTGCATGGTCATACACATGTGTGTCGGGAAGGTGATACACGTGTGCTGGGTGGTCATACACGTGTGTGTCGGGAAGGTGATACACGTGTGCTGGGTGGTCATACACGTGTGTGTCGGGAAGGTGATACACGTGTGCTGGGTGGTCATACACGTGTGTGTCGGGAAGGTGATACACGTGTGCTGGGTGGTCATACACGTGTGTGTCGGGAAGGTGATACACGTGTGCTGGGTGGTCATACACGTGTGTGTTGGGAAGGTGATACACGTGTGCTGGGTGGTCATACACGTGTGTGTCGGGAAGGTGATACACGTGTGCTGGGTGGTTACACACGTGTGTGTTGGGAAGGTTATGCATGTGTGCTGGGTGGTCATACACGTGTGTGTCGGGAAGGTGATACACGTGTGCTGCGTGGTCATACAGGTGTGTGTCGGGAAGGTGATACACGTGTGCTGGGTGGTCATACACGTGTGTGTTGGGAAGGTGATACACGTGTGCTGGGTGGTCATACACGTGTGTGTTGGGAAGGTGATACACGTGTGCTGGGTGGTCATACACGTGTGTGTCGGGAAGGTGATACACGTGTGCTGGGTGGTTACACACGTGTGTGTTGGGAAGGTTATGCATGTGTGCTGGGTGGTCATACACGTGTGTGTCGGGAAGGTGATACACGTGTGCTGCGTGGTCATACAGGTGTGTGTCGGGAAGGTGATACACGTGTGCTGGGTGGTCATACACGTGTGTGTCGGGAAGGTGATACACGTGTGCTGGGTGGTCATACACGTGTGTGTCGGGAAGGTTATGCACGTGTGCTGGGTGGTCATACATGTGCATGTCAGCAAGGTGATACACGTGTGCTGGGTGGTTACACACGTGTGTGTTGGGAAGGTGATACACGTGTGCTGGGTGGTCATACATGTGCATGCCAGCAAGGTGATACACGTGTGCTGGGTGGTTACACACGTGTGTGTCGGGAAGGTGATACACGTGTGCTGGGTGGTCATACATGTGCATGTCAGCAAGGTGATACACGTGTGCTGGGTGGTCATACATGTGCATGTCAGCAAGGTGATACACGTGTGCTGGGTGGTTACACACGTGTGTGTTGGGAAGGTGATACACGTGTGCTGGGTGGTCATACATGTGCATGTCAGCAAGGTGATACACGTGTGCTGGGTGGTTACACACGTGCATGTCGGGAAGGGCCAGCATCACACCCCAACCTGTTTAATCAAATGGTCACTTCAGGTGAAGTATTAAACGAGTGTGAAATGTCAGGGAGTCACACAACATGAGGGGTCCCCGAGTCTCAGAAAAGTTAAGTCAAGGGCAAGGCTCATTCTTTGCCTCCCTCTCCCTAGAGCCTCCGGGCTGAGGCTCCCCTTGACTGCGACCATCCAGGTGTGCCCGTTTCCTTGTTGGAAAGCGGCCGGTGACGCAGACATCCCAGGAGGGTTATCTGGGAAGCATGGCCCCAGGGGACCAAGACGGGGAACCCTGGAGTCCAGGAAGAAGGACCTGGCTGGGGCAGCCTGCTCTAAGCTGCTCTGCCCTCCTGCACCCGGGGACACAGCAGCCCCTCCTGATGGGTTTCCAGTTAGGGGATTTGGGGTTCCAACAGGAAAAGGGCGTTCGCATCCCTGTTCTCACAACTGTTCGCCTTCATGCCACTCCTGGGGGACTGAGACCCCCACACCTCCCGCTTCCGTCCCCAGCCCCACAAATGCCTGCCGCTGCCCCAACACACACCGCAGAGGGCGTCCAGGGCCACGTCGCCTTGATGAAAACCTCACCGTCCTTGCAGCAGGGCGGTGAGAACAGACATCAACCCGCCTGTCTCTCAGGTGGTGGCAATGAAATTTGTTTTGAGAAAGACAAGCACGTTTGCTCCACAGCTACCACAGAAGGGTATCCTGTAACATAAAGCAGGTTTCCTTTTTTGGATCAGCACAGTATTCAAGAGTTCACCTCAGCTCCGTTGCTCAGTCGTGTCTGACTCTTTGTGACCCTGTGGACTGCCTCACGCCAGGCTTCCCTGTCCAACACCAACTCCCGGAGTTTGCTCAAACTCATGTCCATTTGTAGATGGTAATGGACATTGTAAACGTGGCAATGAGACTCTCGGGAGGCTGCAGCCTGGCAGCAGGATGTCCCTGCGTGGCCCCCACACCCCCGGGAAGCTGATGGGGCCGCACAAGGCCTGCTGAGCCCTGCGGCCAGCCTGCGCCCCGTCCCCCACCCTGAACATGGTGACGCGGTCCTGGGTGGTGGCCGAGGGACAGCGCTTGTCT